TTGGTAATCTGGCTCAAGCAGTGAACTCGCAACTTTACTCTCACCAACGTAACAGCTTTCCGACTGGCAGACACCACGAAATTTTGACTCTGCTCTCCTCCCCCTCTGCCTCGTCATTCGTCGTATTCGGTCCGAAATTTGAGGCGCCAATCGAGGCGGAAGTTTTATGTAGTGACATACCTCTTGCATGTTACAGCATCGAAGGTTCAAAATTGTAATATATTTGAAGAAATAGAATAAAAATGCGGTTTGCGACTTTAAAGCAAGGACCGGTATAAATTAGAAGAAGAAATGTTTTCTCTTGGGAGAGTTTTCGATTCTGGTTAGATTGCACTAGTTGTTGCATAATGTCCAGTGATGATAGATTCTGGCAGAACCTATTACCAAATCCCACGTGAAAAGTTGACCGGTGTGTCTGAAAACATATGTATTTAATCACCAGTTGCTGCGAGCGATTCAAACACTGTATGTTGATAGCAGGTGCGGCGTCATAAGAAAATAGCGTGAAGTGACGACCCTTCAGGCTGGCAGTGATATCAGCCGAAACAGCATGTTTACTGCTTCTAACTATGTAACAACACAGTCATGTCGTCCAAGCAGAATGCGTCATGTTTGAAAAGTTGGTGGTTTTCTACTCCGCAAATTTTGCTTAGCTGATGCTTGCAAGTGGCAAAGCTTGCTTGACAGCAGAAAATACTGGAAGCAGCAGGATATGGTGGTATATCTGCCTGAACCCTGGCAGCTGGCAGCCGGTAGCTTGCACAGATTTCTGTTTCATGTTAAGTTTTTTTTCACTCAATGCCGAGAGCTCTCTGTTACATTAATTAACAGGCTACTTATTCACCGTTTCAACATTAAATCCGACGCATACCTACGCAGAACGCGTAAAACCAGCATCTGCAGTAAACAACCTCTTTGCGTTTCAATCTTGCTTGTCTGTTAATCCTGGACAACACAGTTTACGTAGAACGACAAGATTTATGATGCGGAATTCAGCTTTATGTGACGATGACCGCAGCCATGTTCATGTATTTGTTGAAATGCACGTTTTAATCGATGCGTAGTAAATGGCGTTATATATAATCAGTGATATTTGAGATATGCGAGAGTAGGATTAAAGCGGTCTCGTGCAGCCGGTGGCTGTCGATCCTCGCTATCGGGCTGTGACTGATTCGCTATATCTACGGCGGATCATCACCCGGCCCCATATAATGTGCGATGGTCTCGACAGGAACTCACGTTTGAAGAACTGTGAAGAGATTTGTAAACGGCTGCTATTACCGTAACTCTTTGACAGTTGAGTATTCAGTGGTCAATCTCTCGCCAGTTTTCAGTCGGCCCGGTCCTCATTGTACTGTTTTCAGGTAAGCAGATCAGTAGCAGAGGTTAACTGTGCATAGCTGCTGGTGAAATCGTTCATAACTGGGCGGGAAGGGGATAGTATTCGCTCGTGATGGCTCAAACTGACTTTCTGCTCTAGCAGCAGTATGTTTTTTAGCGTAATTGGCGAGGCGACGTTTTCTTCGATATTTTTCGATTGTGAGTAAACACAGAACAGTGGTAAGCTTGAAAATCAGGGGTTTAATTGGCACGGTGCTTTGGAACATTTGACTAATCATATAGGGTGATAGTTTCAGCGCTCCAGCAGCTTCGTGTTAATTAAACCTTTGATTTTCAGTTCACAGCAGTTTTTCGACTTAGTTTTATTATTAGAACTGAACTTGTCGATTATATCAGCGTGTTTTATAATTTATTGAACAAAGTTTATGACGATTCATTTTTTCTGTTCTTGTTTTCTTACGTTTCGTGTTTATACTTGTTTTGCACTTAGACCTGACATGTGCGATACTATTATCTGCTGTTTCGCGGGTTAATAAACCTGATAGTTATGAAACATGACTTTCTTATGCAAAACAACAGTTTTACCTTGTGCTGATTGTCAAGTTGGATAGTCAACTATCAGGCGAGTCAAGGCGAATAGCAGCGATAGCAGGCGCTCGCATCATAAGACAGCATAGTTGTACCTTTTCCCGTTTCTCTCCTGACCTTGTTGTTCATAATTCAGTGAGTGATTACCTATTTCTCTTCTCTTTGCCCCAAATCAACCCAGAGTGAATTACTTGTTCGGAAGATCTTTGGCTTAAAACAAACGTTTAACCCCCTCCTACATAGACTTCAAAAGGCAGTTTCTTGCCATTATGTCACCATCTACAGGGCTACACATTTTTTACGTTTCTTCTCTTTTGCTTCCGGAGTTCTGTTAAGTAAATTGCACCTCAGTAGTATTTTAACGCCGGAAGTTTATCGATGCCTCTCGCATTGGTTACGCTTTTACTTGCTAGGTTTTCTGAAGAAAGAATTTTCTTATCTCAAAAATGAGGAAAACAACCAAAGAAAATAAAATATTTCTGTAAAGTAAGCTTATTGTTTGTATTTTTAACTGTTTTTAAATACCAGCAGCATTTTTATACTGGATTATATATGTCTGTAAAGATATTTCGAAAGGAGTTCATTGTTTTTCGATAAACTTTCAACAGCACTACGTTTGTGGTTGTTGTAACCATCTGTCTTCAGGGATTCATAGCGTATGTGCGCAAGCATTTTTCCTTTTAAATTTAATATACATTATATAAGATTACGTGGGTCGATTGGCAGTCGGCGACGAATCGCGCCCGCCGCAACGTGCCCGCTATTGAGCGTGGTTTGAGCGTAGTTTTTCTGAGTATTCTCCATCCAACCGAGGCCTTCCTGCCTCCTGGTACTATCTTTCCACTGTCTCGATGGGTGACTAAACCTAGTGTTTCTGCGATGTATCAGTTGACGATAATTGTCCACCATCTTCCGTCGGTAAGCTGAACTTCTCCTTTCGACGAAGACGTCCTGCACGCCTGTCCGCTGCTTGTCCACGTGTTGGGGATATGGCCGTGTGGTGAAATTTCCAACATTCTCTTTTCCTTGATGCTGTCGATAGCAGATAGCTGTCGCTGTTCGGTTTTAATGAATGATCATGTATCAAAGCCATAGAACATTGCCGGCAGGGTGCCAGAATTGAAGATACGATATAATAACGCGGGTTTTTTCCTGATGTTTCTGAGCGGACGTCCTTGACTGATTGGAATCTGCGACAACCGTCCTGTTTTTCTGTTGAATTGCCTCAATTTGATCACGCCTCATGTTTATTTCATGTATTTATAAATTTCTTTGAACCTTTCCCCGCTTATTACCTATTATCTATTTAGCAGGGCATCCGATCGCAGTGTTTTCTTCTATGAAAGATTGATTCTCAATCGTCTTGTATGTGACTGGCGTTCTCCGCAAGCAATATCATGCCATCATCGAACCTTACGCTGCTGACCTCTTTACCATTGATATTGATCCCACTTTTTCTGTTCATTCTCCGGCGGACCTATTCTAATTCGATGTTGAAGAGTTTTTTCTTCCGTATTTCACGCGTGTCTCTACGGCAATCCGAAACGGGGTGTCGAACAGCGTGATGATTGTGAAGCACCCAGGGTTCGCTGCCTTTGATCGATGATGCGGTAAACACTGCGTTATGCCCGACAGTGCCGAACCTTTACTGGCAGTCGACGAACGCTATGCACAGAAGTCCGAATTCACTCGCGCGCTCAATGAGTTGACTTAGGGTTGAGTACTGTAAAGTTGTACTATATCTCCTTCCGACTCCTGTCTGTTATGTTGGATGCAGGTTATCCAGACTTGTTGGCAGTCTGTTAGGGATGATCTTAGCGACCAGCTTGTAGACTTGTGAGAGCAGGCTGATTCGGTGATAGTTATTCTCGCCCATTTTAGACAGAAACGATTGTTTTTGGCTCGTTCCATCTTGATAATATCTATTATGTTTCTAGTTAAGTTAATAATCATATTTATATAAGTTTGTTGAGTTATATAATTAGATACAACTTATTATATTCTAGAGGTTGAAAAAGAAATCGGTTGATATTTTCATAGGTTTGTTTGAATGGGTTCTGTTCCTTTAATTCCTTTCTAATACTACATTAGAAACTGCAAAGTTCTACTCTTATAGATTCGAACATGTTCGAAAGCCTGGTTCCGTTGAACTTCTTTTGCGCTTCACTTACTGTACACTCGTTGTAAGGTTGGCAGTTTCTACCTGCCATAGCAAGAAAAACTTGATTGACTTGACTCTCTGCTGTTCAAGCAGATGACAACGTGAATGCACGTGACAGAGTAAAATTAACAGTCTTTGCTTAGTTCCAGATAAGATGTCTCGTTACGTCATAGATGGACTTTACTGTACTCTAATATACTGCACTAAGAGTGTTAGGATACTACTTTGTGGACGTACTCTTGCTTGTAGTTAGTTTTCGACTGGCTGGCTACTGCTATCAGCACTGTGACGAAGAGCGTTCTTGTGCCACTTAACCCGTGCGCCAGGTTTTGCTATATTTTGTTCGCCAACCATCGCTTCATTAAGATTCATCTGTTTCTGAATGATTTTTTAAAATTTTATCGAAGCCTATTTGAAATCGGCATTTGGCTATACAGGTAGAACAGTGACTCGTTGCATTGATTAAACGCTTGATTGTAAACTTCGTAAAGTATGAGACATCTTTTTGATCTTACAAAGTTTTGCTCCTTATCCGTTAGGTGTCGTGTGTTCTTCGGTATAGCACGTTCCCCGTGAAATATTTACCAGAATCTTGCCCCCTTTTCGCTAAACGAGTTTGCATGCATATATGAAAATTTAAAAGGTACATCAGCGTTGTATTGATACATCATTATTTCTCTAATGCATTTACACCCTTTACCGCGGCTGTAATTTTAGGGTGGACTCCATTACATGAAGCTTGCAATCAAGGACGGTACGAAGTGGCTAAGCTATTGATCGAACACCAAGCTGACGTGTTTGCTAAGGGCTTGGAAGACGACACTCCTCTTCACGACGCCGTGCGTAGCGGAAATACAGAGGTAAATAAGTCGTTGCACTTTGGGACGGTTCAAAAAATGTATATTGTAACCAAAAATTTCTGTCATCCTGCTAAAAGAACAACGTCTTGGGGTTCTAAAAACTGTACATTAAATACATTCAACAAAACCTGGCCAAGTAGTCTGTTTTAGGTTTATTTCGATACTTTATGCTTGTGATGTCTTTTTTATAAGATTTTTCAAGTACGTAGTCGAAAGTATTGTTGAACTTAACATTTCAATCTGTTTTTCTTCTTGTGCCAATGCGTGAAAGATCACGCCTCGTGCAGTGGTGGCATTCTATCTGGTACTTTTTCAGCAACATCGGTCTCAGGATTTGACATCCATTAGTTAAGGTTTTACCATTTTCAATCCACTTCGTCTTCTTGAAGTTAAGACCGAGATTAGAGCACTTCTAATACATTGTTAAGAACCGTGATGTCACAGCTTTGATATTATCTATTAGCAGCGCAGTATCCTCTGCAGACGCAAGACAGTTTACGCAAATATTGCCCACTCTTGTCACAGTCGTAGCTTCAGTCTTTCTTATTCACTCAAGCATCCAGTCATGAAACATCCCAAAGAGCAGTGGAGAATCAAAAATCAAATTCTTCTTGCCTCACTCTGAGCTTTTTACGAAATATTTGTCGAATATTCCATCAGTCCACATTGCACTTGACAAAACATCATTCGCTCTTTTAATTGTATGAATAACCTTTTGTGAGATTTCGTATTGTTCACTCACTTTCCTCAACGCGTCTCTGCCGATCGAGTGAAACGTTTTGCTGGAATCGACGAACATTGCAAAGAGTTTGAATTCAAGTTCTCTATTCTTTTACATAATCTGTCTCATTTTGAATTTCCTCTGCCTGCGCCGAATCCAGAGTGCTCTTTACTCAAGATTTTCTCAAAATTTTGTCTAATCCTTTCCACCATAAAATTCATGAATGGATAGTAGGCTGATTTCATGGTGTTTGTTTGGATTCGCGCAATAGCTCCTTTTTTTGAATATTTCAACGTAGTATTTTTCCCATGGTCATTCGGCATCTTTTCTTTCTACCATATCGGTGAAAACAGACTCACTGATGTCGCCCTTCGTTCATCCCAGACTCTTTAATTAGCTGTGATTTTACTCCGTCAGTACCTGCAGCGGTGCCTCTTTTCAGTTGGCTTAAGGCTTCAATCATTTCTTCAATTAGCAGCTGCCCAACATCAGCCTCCGTCTGTCGTCCAGGCGTAATTTCATACAATGCGTTGTGTATCACAATTCTGTCAGAGTTAACTAGCGATTCAAAATGTTTTATCCGTATTTATACCTTATTTACTTCTGTATATGTATGTATGTATGTATGTATGTATGTATGTATATGAAGTTCATAACCAGAAACTTTATTAACCATTTTTCAGCTAATTCAACTGCTACTCTGCCGGGGTGCTGATCCGCTTCAAAATAATGCCTTGAAAATCAAGCCGATTGACCTCTGTGTGAATGACGACGTTAAACGGGTGCTGCTTGGAACTGTCGGCGTTCAGGCCGTAGAAGAACACCTCGACAGTTTTAGTCAAGAAACCAACTCGTCTCAGAACACTTCTGAATCTGCAAGTGCTGACAGTGGTCAGAGTAATGATTTTCTTTTACGTTTATCGATCGATGGCTCAGAAGTTGAGATTCGTTTGTGTAAAGTGTAAGAAATCCCACTGGTTCTGAATCCGTAATATTTCTTTAGGTGTCTTTGTTATTATGCAGCAGACTGGGATTCTGTCCAAGACATCAAAACTTACCGGTATGTTTGACATTCTCATCCTGTCATTCCTGGTACCAAGCACAGTTTCATATTTGCCTCAGTTTTTCCACTCATTCGAAATTGCTTTATTAACTACTCTTGTCTCTATTCTGCCTGTTTTGTCAGCTAACTATTTCAGTTTGTGCAGTATGGCGATGTGTACCGCATATTTGCACAGTTAAAATGAGGCGTGCAGAGGCAGAAAATTTTCGATACCCAATTTTACTTTTAACACTGAACGCATAAGTGTTGAGTGGAAAAAAACTTTATTAACCTCTAATCAAGCAAAAATTTTCAAAGATCCCTTTATGAGGATGTGCGTCTGATGATCTACTTTAACATGCTACTGCTGAAATAAAAGAGAAGACACATTTTCATGATAATACGCAACTGCAATATTTTTTCTTGACGGTGGAGGTACTGGAGATTAGATTATCATTATTAATGATGATCAAGGCGAAGACGACGGTGGCGATAGTAATGATGCTGTTAACGATTATAGCAAATATGATAACTCCGATGGTGATGATATTAGTGATAATGATAATGATGGGGATAACGATGCTAATTATTATAATTTTATTTTGATGATGTTTATGATTTTTACTTAACTGTTTGTGCCTTTGGTGGTGATGGTAAGGAATAGCAATAAGATTGACGTTTACGATTCTGCCAGTTCCGGCTGCTGGTTTGAAAATGGTCATAAGTGTTGTGATTTGCGTAGATGATTATTGCATCATTCGCAGAGTGGTAGATTTTAATTGGCTGATTGTTAAACGGATGATCTGGGTGATGACAGTGATGATGCGATTGCTATTACTCTTAGAACTGTGATGGAAACGATTATGTTACGATTGTGATTACGTTGATACTGATTATGACACTGGCGGTGATGCTGACGATGATGATAGTGATGAATCGCTCATTCGTCGATTTTTACCGTTTAACAGTTGCATTTTCTGCTGACATATCTGACGGGGCGACGACTACTGTAAAGATTTGTATTCCTCGATAAGTAGCTAACGCGTCTGTGACGCTTTCGCAGTATGCAGTAAGATGTCAGGTGTTATTATCCGTAATGTCCATGACGTTGACTGACATGAAGATATAGTGACCCGAATCTAACATATTTTACTACTTTATCGTCTCCGAAGACAGAGCATTTCGTGGCCATATTGAAAAATAGTGTAAAACGTTTTATTAATTTAAACGACGCAAAAAGCAATGTGCTGAATCAGGTGATTAATCACTTCTGATGTTTCTGCCCGTGTCTCACAAGCCTTGTTCATGTATGAGGTATTTGGAGTTTCAGAGATTTTTCTTATTGTCCTCAACGATTGGTAGGTTTGAACCAGAAGCCAAACAGCCCGACGGCCAAGAAATACTTAAGACAAGTACTTCGACGGTCTGTGCTACAGACTCTGGTTTTTTTTGCAGACAGGTTCAGGAACTGGCACATATAATCGGGAACTACATGGCTCGGCTATATACGAGATCTGACATTGTCATGCCTTCGAATACAGACAACAGACGTTGACCATTCGGCGACGGATCTTAACCATGGCAAAGATATCAGCAGCAGTTTCGTTCGCGTGATGAAAGGAATTTCTTCTTTGACAATAATTCAATGATTTTTTTATTCATAAGATCAGTATTTACGCATAGGGTTGAATCGATATCGTGGATAACTGGTAAACAGGTCCAATTCTGTAAGCTGATAAACCATTTATCATCATGCTGCTAATTAAAGGATGCATGGCTAAGAACTAGTGGCTTCCTTTGGTACGTCTGTATGTTCTACTATTATGTTCAGAGGCCATTTTGAACGCCAGTCAGAGATCGGGGTTGCTCGGTTGATAGAGCGCCGAAAGACCCTACGTTTAAGCTCTGTTCAGCTGACTCGCCTTTTTTCTTTTTGAGGTCGATGAACGAGTGCAACTCCGCTGGGAAGAAACATGGGACTACGTACTATGCTATCCACAATACTGCTGTCGACTTTTCCTTTAAAATAATAATAAAGGCTCCTGCGTAATGGCATGGGAAAGCAGATCAGCACCGCATCAACTTAATGAAAAGAAAGATTCCACAGATGCCCACATAATTCCATAAGTTTAAAAGAGATCGACATGTGAACATTTCTTTACTGCACCCCGCGTTCGAATACTTTACCTGATATTTGAAACTTGTCTAGTTCTAATGGGAGCTGTGTATCGTCAGAGCATATATAGGGTGGTGGCGGCGGTGAAGAACTTCGATTTTAACTTTAGCGTGAAATACAAAAACGGTCGAAGCTGACAGATTTAATGGCGTCTGGCAAAATAACGAGTACTCTCTTTATTTTTGAATAGTTGGCCGGTTAACTCAAAATGTCCTTACAGTAAGTTTGACGTAAATGCGATTCGACCGTTTATATCACTGGTTTAGTTTTCTGCTGCTTATAATGCTGTTAACGTAAAATTGCTCTTAGAAAACAGTCATTGTAAGTGAGTTTTAATGGACGTGTTTGGTTTACCTCCGTCGTACTTATCGTATTCTGTTTTAGGTTTGTTTCAACAGGGCATTCACGATGACCGGCCAGTGGTAATCAGACTAGCTTTTGACGCGATGGCCACTGAGGTGATCAGTGCAGCGTACCTCTAACAGTTAAAAACTGCAGCTTTTAGAATTTTCCCGTGAGCAGGGGTTTGTCATCTTCGGTTTCCGGTCAGTTTTCGGAGGCCGATGCTGACAAAACCGTCGTTGCTGAGTTCGCAGCCAATCCCGATGGAAGTAGACTTGCGGATCCTGTATCCACTGGCGATGGCAGCGGTGAATCGAGTTCGTTGACGACTGCAGTCAGCGTTGGAGGCAACGAATATGGAGGGGGCTCAGTGCCGCAGACACCCTCAAGGACTGGGCCACACACTAGGCGTTACTTGAAGCGCTCTCGTGGCAGCAGCCGTCAGCAGCATCAGCAGCAAGAAGCTACTCGCCACTGCATGAAGCGAAAGCTGAGCCGACGTGACACGATGCGCAAAACAAAGGTCACTGCTGCGGTGGACGTCTACGAGTTCCACACGTCCGATTCAGAGAACGAGTCGTCCTTGCCCAATATCTCGCCGTCGTACAGATGCAAGATCAAGTCCACCGCTAACGGTTCCAACAGGCAGCAGCAACCGCCGCCGAATATCGTAGAACTTCCCGTTGCTGTCAGCAATGCCACCAGTCTATCCTCACCACCTCCTGCTTCAACCCCTGTCCTCCCAAACGTGGAGCGTCAGCAGCAGTTGAATCTCGACGTCGAAACAGAGATGTTAAATATCACCGTGACCGGCAGTGCACCTTGCCAGTCGCAGCCACCGCCTGTATGTTCGCCGCCGAACGTCGGAGACACAACTTCGTTGCCGGTGACACAGCCGTCAGTGATGGCGTCTTGGTCGAATTCGGCTAAGAGAAACGAGCTTACGAGCGGTAGCTCGCTCAAGGAACGCCTGCTCGCCTCGTACCGGAAGGAAAGCAGTCAGATTTCGCAGCTGATCTGTTCCATGAAGTCGATGACCTGTCAGTCTGAAACAACGGTGGCGGTAGCGACGACAGACAACCTGGCCGTCGGCGATGTCGCCGGAGCATCCGGCGACCAAAAGACCATTGAGGGTTCGTCAGTTTTACCCACTGTCGTTTATTTTTCACCGATTTCCATGTGTCTGAAAAATCCTGTTTCAGACGAGAGTGACAGCGGCGAGGCTCGCGGCCGGTACGGCGCACCACCACGTTACCTGCAATGCGCTGATGGTCACACGAAAGTCATTGCTGCCGAGCCGACGACGTCCGGCGTCAGCAAAACCGCCTCACCCAAAGTGCCGCCTTTAAAACTGGTCTTGTCGAACCCGGGCAGGAAAAATAGCGAAGACGAACCGGGTAAAGACGGCAGCCCAACTTACGTGGTCAGAAGCGAAAATCATTCCCCAGAAATCAGAGAAGGTTCGAATTGCTAGAAAACATTTTTCGTAATTTTTTTGTTAAACTACAAAACTATGCTTTAGTTGTATAGTTTATTTATAATCAATTACAACAGTTTATGAGGGCACCGTAGTACGCTTTGACGGTCGCCTTTTATATAATGGACCAAGCAGCCGGACTAGAATCTTTGCTTAAACTGACCTGAGTTTCACGGCAATTACCGTACATTATAACGTACTCTCTTTTTATAATCGTTACAGTTAGACTCTAACTTAAATTCGATAAGCGTAAATTGGTACTTATGCAGATTATCCTGAAAGTGCTATGGGTTAAATTTCGAGTTATAAAAATTTTATTTAGTATACCTACGTTTCTTTAACCTCGCCCAAGAGTGGTCTTCCAAAGGCGTGTAGCATGTGCAGTGCATGCCTTTCCCTTTCTAGTTTCACTTTGTTTACCATTTAGCACAGACTTACTGTGTATCTGTACTTACACGTTTTAATAATTGGTAGTGTTTATGTGCGATGTAATAGAGAGTACAGTCATGATTTATGAACAGAGGAAAAAAGTCATTGTTCAGTTATCTCTTGATTGGTGCGTCGATACATTGTCTACGAGGTCTAGTTCGAACTCTAGAGGTGCCAGGTTCAATTTCCCCCAAGGGCAATCTTTGTTGTATTCACAAATATCCTTGAGCAAGGAATTTATGACATGAAGCCTCGTTCTGGTGTTACTCCGTCGGTAGAGTGCCGAATTCTGAACCAATGGATCTCGAGTTCAAGCACCGGTCAGGGCTACTCGCCGTTCTTCCATCCGAAGTCGATAGATGAATGAAGAAAACAGTTATGATTGCCACATGGCTGTAGGCTCTGCTCTTAAAATAGAATACTCCTGCCTGATGTCATAGAAAGAGGGATCAGAGCACCCACCTTCAGCTTCATGAAAAAAAGGCACCAACATGGCCTAATCATGAAAGCAAGGAAAGACGCACATTCCAACGGGGAACAAACTTTACTTTCCTTTCATCTCTTGCTAATTTAATTAATGTAGAAAGGTCGAGCAGCCAAATTGAACATTGTTTTATTTTCCTGTTGCTCATACTATTTATACTGTATTACATTATTTTCCATTAATAATTACATGCCGAAGTACGTCGTACCGAATTACTCTGTGTACGTCATGTGAATGAAACTAGTAGAAATCGTCTTTAAAACATGTTTACGTACTACTGTAGAGTCGTACTGTAAATACGTAAGCGACAGGGTGTAATTAAGTGGCCATAATGGGTTGAATTTAAATTAAGTGAAATTCGTGTTACGTAAAAGTTTGCGGAACGTGGCGCTTACATAAGTCAGCGTTTTTCTAAATCATGATTGGCTGTATTGTATTGTTCTACGTTGTGGGTACGGGGCGGATTAGTAATTGCACATTGTACCATTGTTTTGATTCACTGGTCAGTCCTTGTTTGTTGTTACTTGAGATGGTTTGCAAGCTAGAATGTCTAGTTCAGTAGCGGCTGAATCGAACGGGATGCTCACCATCTTTAACTCCCGTAGTTTTCGATATATTTTTGTAGGTATTCGGAATAACCACCTAACAAAGTCACGTTCCAATTATTTCGACCGAGAGATGATGCAGTGAGAGGTCTGCAATATCTGGGATTTAGATTAGATTTAAGATTATTAGCAAAGTTTTGAGCCTCCTGTGGGTGCGGTCAAACCTGTTGTAGATGTCCTTCTGATTCGCTAGATGAGGTTTTGGTTCTCTGTTTTGGTACCAGGGTCGTGGCCTTTCGTAGTGCAATTTGAATTGTTTTTTATTAGGACATGGTTGCAAGATAATCGTGATGAGTTTGTAACACGCGAGTTCAAACAGCATACTTTTGTTGACAATTTAATCATGCGACAGAGGAAGCCATACTCTGCTGATCCTGTAAGCTTCTTCCTCCCTGGTTCTGAAAAGTGCTACTGTTGCCGGTTTTAATGATATTATTCGTTGTGAACTTTAATCCAAAACCTGTAGGAGCTTCTCTCGAGGAACATCTAGTACTTTGAAAAGTATTGCAAGCACTTCAAAAATCTCTTTGTTAATATTTAGGATTCTTGCTACAATCCGCATTGTTTCTAACAACTTGCGTTACCTTCCGTCTCAAATAAGTTTGCTTTCTGTGCAGCTGATCCCGGAGACTTGTTTTCTGCATCGACTCAGTATATATGCGTTATTGTTGAGTTAGGTTCAAAGGATTATAAGACCAATGTAGGTGGCCATTGGGACACGCGCATAGAGAGCAATTTACATAAACTCACGTTTGGATGATATTAAAATGAATCCGGTAAAAAATAGCTGTTTTTGCAATAGACTTCGGCTACAATGCTACAACAATGATTGGGCTAGTGTAAATAATATATGAAATGGAGCTGGCTGGCCCCGAGCAAAGACGAAGCTCTCATTTTAGAGGGCATGCGCAGTTCAGCATATGCGGCCAGATATTCCGCTGACCTGGAGTACGCAGATGATATTGTTCTTATGAATAGCGTGGGAGGCGAACTGCGTTATCTGACGCCTTTCTTATGCAACGCAGCTACGAAAACCCGCGTCTTTTTCAACGCTTGGAAGTCAAAGGTAGTAATGGAGAACCCATCTGATTTACACGGCGAACAGAGGGTAAAAATCAAGGTGATTGACCAGTTTACCTATCTCGGCTCCACAGTCTCCAACGACTGCACTATTCAGTCAAATTTATATGGGAAGATTGCCTTAATCTCGAGCACTTTAAGAATCCTGTCGTTTATTCAGGCTTAAAAAGGCGTTACTCTTCCTAAAGAAATTAGTCTGTACCTTGTCTCAACGAGGCACCGCTGTTTTACTGCATGGTACAGCTGTTCTAACGAAGGAGCAAGAACGACAGTTTAACTGCATGCAGCAATGTTGGTTTCAATGTATTCAGGGTAATTAAATGGTAGGACCATACAAGGAATAACTACTCTGTTCCAGGAACAGGTGACCTTAAGAGATATAGAAATTATGGAAAAGAAGTTGATCTTGGTAGACAAACAGGATAAGCATGAGCGAATTACTCTGGCGCACAAGCATTTTGGGGTAAGGGGCACGGTAGGCTTCAAGCAGAGGTCTAACGTGAAGCATAGATGAACAAGTAAAGGGAAATCCGTGTTCGGAGAGAGTTTTCTTTTACTAGACGGTGCCTTCTACTGAAAGCATTGAAGCAATGAGAGATTTCGCAAATCGGAGGTATTCTGCTTGTGCAGTCTGTTCAAGTTGACGACCACGATTAATAATGGTGATTATGTGATAGTGTAGGTTCTCCTGTTTAAGGATCATGCCTGGTTCGGTAGCGTTTAGATCGAGGAGTGCGGTATGGAGTGTACCATCTTCGTAGAAACACTCGATCGTGGCATAAGAAAAAGATGGACAGCAGCGTATTTCAGCTATGTCGTTAATCATCGTGAAACACATGGTTTAAGTGACAGTATTTAGGAGTTATTGTTCAGTGGTAGTATTTTTGCAAGCCAGGCATCAGCTTCAAGATCTGGTCGGATTAAGATGCAGAGTTGTCTAGAAGATCCAAAACAATGTTCAACAAATCGTCAAATGTTCTTGCTTGTTATCGACTGAATAATTGATTTTTTCCTATTAGATGAATCACCTTGAACCCTGTAGGAGCATTTTTTAACGAACCATGCAAATAAACAGGTGGTAGGCGTTGTTTAAGCAGATTTTGTTGCAGGCTGTTCAACACGTCGTAGTTTGGTTTTTGAACCTGAATTGTTGTTTGTTTGCAGAAGCGAGCCACTGCCATAAAGCTGACGACGCGGCCAAGCGCACCGCTGCCCCCGTCGAGTCGTCGCACCGCATCA